ATCTCAGCTACTCTCAGGAGGCTGAGGTGAGAGGATCACTTGAGCACAGGAGCCTGGGCAACAGAGCAAGATTCTGTCTCAAAAAGAAAAAAAAAAAAAAAGACTAGAACTCTGGGCCACCTGCTTAGTAGTTGCTCTTAGGGCAACTGATACCTAAGCACTTGCTTACCTCCCTAACTGCAGGCTTACTTTGGTCTGCCTCCAGAGGATTTCTTTTTGCAAACTAAATGTTTTGGCCTGGTCCCCCGCCAAAAAGAAATCCTCTGGAGCCAGACCAATGTAATCCCAACACTTTGGGAGGCCAAGATGGGCAGATCACCTAAGGTCAGGAGTTTGAGACCAGCCTGGCTAACATGGCTAAAACCCCATATCTACTAAAAGTACAAAATACAAAAATTAGCCTGCTGTAGTGGTGGGCATCTGCAATCCCAGCGACTCGGGAGGTTGAGGCAGGAGAATCGCTTGAATCTGGGAGGTGGAGGTTGCAGTGAGCTGAGATCACGCCATTGCACTCTAGCCTAGGCAACAAGAGCGAAGCTCCATCTCAAATAAATAAATAAATTTTTTAAATGTGTTCTTATTTAACATTCTTACAGGCTTCATATGAAAGTAAATACTTTCTAAAATTGAGTTTGCCATATTGACAAAAATAGAAGTCTACAAATTCTATCTCTTCCTAGCTGTCTCACAAATCCAAAACTTCAGTTGTCCACTACTGTATCAAATTTTCCTTCAACATTTTTCTCTAATGACACTACCTCCCGCCTACCTATTTATAACAAAAAATTGAGCAAATGCTCCTTTCTCACTCAAGCTTTCACATCTTCGTATAACTCTCATTGGCTGTAAATTCTAAATATCTCTTAAATTTGTTCTCTCCTTCATTCTAGCTACAATTGCCTTCACAATTCATTATTTCTTTTCTGGGTCACTAAAATAATCTGTTTCCATACTTCACATAGCCGTCAGCAAAACCCTACTTAAAATCCATTCTTTACATAGCTGTCACCAAAACCCTATTTAAAATAAAAATTGGGGCCGGGCATGGTCACTTACACCTGTAATTCCAGCACTTTGGGAGGCCGAGGCAGGCGGATTATGAGGTCAGGAGATCAAGACCATCCTAGCTAACACAGTGAAACCCTGTCTCTACCAAAAAGTCAAAAAATTAGCCAGGCATGGTGGTGGGTGCCTGTAATCCCAACTACTCAGGAGACTGAGGCGGGAGAATCGCTTGAACCTGGGAGGCAGAGGTTGCAGTGAGACAAGACTGTGCCAGTGCACTCTACCCTGGGTGACAGACCAAGACTTCATCTCAAAAAAATAATAAAATAAAACAAAAATTGGATCATGCCGTTTGCATAATTAAGCCTTCAGTGACTCCTTATTGCTGTCAAGATAAAGCCTCAGGTCAGACACAGTGTGGCTCATGCCTGAAATCCCAGCACTTTGGGAGGCTGAGGTGGTTGAATCACTTGAGGCCAGGAGTTCGAGATCAGCCTGGGCAACAGAGCAAGACCCTATCTCTATAAAAAATACAAAAATTAGCCAGGGATGGTGGCATGTACCTATAGTCCCAGCTACTCAAGAGGCTGAGATGGGAGGATATCTTGAGTATGGGAGGCAAAGGTTGCTGTGAGCTGAGATGGTGCCACTACACTCCAGCCTGGGCCATGGAGCCATACCTTGTCTCAAAAAAAATAGTAAATAAAGTCTCAATTATTTATCATGGCATATAGGGTCATAGGGTCCTCTACAATCAGTCCCTCCCTCTGATGGGTCATGCCAAATTACATATCATCTTTTGCTTGATCTGCCATCCTCCAGTCAATCCCACACCTCACCCCAGCTTCCCTGGCCACTGTCAGCTCCTTTCAGAACCCAGGTTACAAATCTTTTCTTCCAGGAAACTTGCAGGCAAATTTCTCTTCTAGGAAACTTGCAGGCAAATTCTTACTGCACCCTTTGTTACATCACAGCACATGATGTGCTTCACTATTACTGCCCTTTCTACACTGTATTGCAATCATTCTTTTACTGCCCCAATTAGACTATGAATTCCCTTCAAAGGCAGGTAAAATTTTATCTTTATCCCCAGTAACTGGCACAGTGCTGATTATTAGTATCTATCAAATGAATAAATTAATGATTTTGACTTCTACAGTAGCTTTTGAGATTGACTCCTACCTCCACTGCTACTCTCAAAGTTCAGGCCTTTTATTCTGTCTCTGTTCCCTCACATGTCCTTATGCCTCTAGCTTATTAACCTACCTAATGAAACCCAAATTATTCCTTTTTTTTTTTTTTTTTTTTTTGAGACGGAGTTTCGCTCTTGTTACCCAGGCTGGAGTGCAATGGCGCGATCTCGGCTCAC